ATATATATATATATATATATATATATATATATACACACACCAAATCGCCAAAACTTTGACAATTTAGCGATATATATATATACATATATATGTGTCCCCCTTTTCTTATTGTCTTTCCTTGAAAATCCAGGCAAGACAACAGGAAAAAGGGGGATACACATATATGTATATATATCGTTAAAGTTTCAAAGTTTTAGCGATTCGGTGTATATATATATACACTCAATTGCAGAAACGTTGTAGTACTGATTCATTTACACATTTATACAATTATCTAATGAGATACATATTGCAAAATAACCATTTTCAACGCTTAAAAACCAACTGATTTATAATCTGTAAGATCTAATAGACAAGAAAAATTATTTTGACACAGTCATTGAATGAAACAAACAATAAATAAAGCGATTTGTCTGTTTCATATCATTAAATATACTGAAAAAATTAGATATATGTATAAATGTAAACAACAACGTTTCTGCAATCGAGTATATAACTTTAAAAAACCATTAATAATTCATGAAGGAAACACAATAGAAATCATGACCGTGAAGGAGGTTTTATATCTGATAAAGATTCGTCTTCATTTGCATAAACTTTAACTTGGATTTCCTCTATTAAACTTGGTTCATTTCGTAAAAAATTCGGTACAATATGAGAACTTACATCATGAGTTTTTTTAAGCCGTTCAATAAAAGAGCAGATCGTGTTTTATCAGGTCTAAAACCACTCGGCTACGCCTCGTGTTTTATACCCAATAAAACCCTCCTGCTCGTTTATTAAACATTACATATATATCAATCACTCAAGCTACATAGGAGAAACGGGACGATCTACTTCTACGATCTAAGGTCTACGGTCTACGATCAAAATTTCCCATCAAAAGAAAAAGAAATGTCTTTTGCCATTTAATCTATCACAATGCTACACCTACCTAGCAAGATATCAGGTGAAAATTTCTACATCCCAACATCAAATATTATAATGAAAGAAAAATCAAAATTAAACACTTGAAATTAAAAATGTGTAAAACAACATCATGAATCATCCAATTCATTAGATATGTATCGATTCAACAAATAGACATTATTTTTTTGTCTCATGTTCTCTTTATTGACCATATATTGAGTCATCACATTGTCAAAGTAGTGTGGATCCACGAGGCGTAGCCGAGTCGATCCGCATTCTACTTTGACAATGTGAGACGATGTTTATCGTCAATAAGAGGACAGACACATAAAAAACTGATGTCTAAGTGTTTTTTACGATAACAAAAACGATGAAACTTCTCATTTTTAGCGATCAAAACAACGAAAAGAGCGGTGCTCGTTGACGTCCGCTTTATCTGTCTTTCCCTTAATTGATGATAAAAAATAACCAATCAGCACTCGAGAAATTTGTAAGTTCTGAAACTAACATTTCAGCGTTGCTACGAGCGCGTATAAGCTAATTGATAATTAATATTTCAAGCTCTGTAGCTCTTACTCTAATATTTGCACCTCTTGGTCACATCCACAAGTAATTCATCCTTTATTTTAACTATTTCTAGTTTTTTTCTTAAAGTCTATTGACCCCAACATCCCATATATTCTTTATTATATATTTACTTTCCTTTTAAAGACCTTCCTTTTAGTTTCAGTTTTAGCTATGTTTAATCATTAGATTTACACTCGCATATTTTCCATCTGAATATTCAGCGTGAGAATGTTTTTACTTGTTTTTACTTATATCAGATATATCATTGACTGACAACGGCCATGTCGGAACCTATTTTAAATATACCTAGCTTAACCCAATGTAAATTAGAAGAGAAAAGAATCAGAACAGAAGAGTAATAAAGATCTAACAAGAGCGGTCCATCGCTAACCTTCTTCCTCGAGTCTTAAACGAAACTTAGAGTATTAACAAGACGAGAAAAATAGTATAGAAGGATCCAAATTGTATATCTTACAAACCAGTCATGTTTGATTTSCTATTTCAGAATTCTTTGATAGACTTGCTTTTTTACTGGAAAATTTAGTTGAACCAATTTACTTGAGAAGGTGTTTTGCTGAACTGGAAAATGCGTCGCTCAATAAACATTGATAAACATATGGAAAACAACATTACCAACGTTCGCTATCTCTAACAGCTTAGAGAAAATCGATAAATGCTTTTTCCCTACAAATCATGTCATGCGTACAGTTTTTGCCATAAGCCAAAAATTACTTGGTATTTTTTTAATAGTTTAAACATAGTAAAAATCCTTTTTCTGTTTTTTATTGTGATTGAGSCGTGAAGAAGGTAGCTTCAAAGAGCAATGTAGCTTTTAGAAAAACTCTGCGTGACAAATCGCTCTACATATTTAGGAATTGCAGATGACAATAATTTATCAATCAGAGTAGTTTTCGCAATATTGTGAGCATTTACGAGGTTGAGGATATTCCTTACAGCAATAACACCACGTAAGATCGCTGATCGGGTTGTGAAATTGCCTTGGAACAGTAAGGCATGTTCACTCAACGTATTTTTTTGCAGACATTCGGATTATCCTCTATATAAAAARCAACTACATAAATCAAAGCAGC